CCCCATCTATCTCCTCTTTCGCAACTAAAAATTCTGCAAGCGCACCCGCAAACCTCTCTTACGTTTTCCACTCGCAAGCCAGCTTTCGGGAAGCAGTGGCTAGGTAATGCATTTGGTGCGAATCGAAAAGTCCTGTCGGACTGACTGTAGTCTGGCCGGCTGCGCGCTTGATCGCCACGACGAACTGTGGGATCCGGGCGAGCCGAGTCGAGTCTGCGTCAGCGGGGTGACGATCGCAGTGGTGGAAGTTAGCAGACGACGGTCGGGATCGTCGGTGCGGGTATGAGGATTTGTGATGGGAGTTTAGTGGATGATTGGCCTGGGGCCATATTGGAATTTTACGGCGAACGCGCCTTCATGATTGCGGATCATTATTCTGGTGTGGGTTCATGGCTGTGAAGCTGAATGCTCCCTTGTGGAACTCTGGTGTCTTCTGTCTCGGTTTTTTCTCGTCTATCTCTCCAATCTCTCTCTCTCTAACTTGAATGACGATGTATTATGGGTTTGTCTCTCTTGTGAACCGAAGTGAACTCTCGTGAGTTCTCGCGAGGAAGAACTTCTTCCGGAACTCTTCCATTAGTTTCCTGGGTAATCCCCAGATACAAAGAACTCAATCGCCTTGTCTTGTGAACGGTGGATGCGTGTGTACAATCCCTCGATTGATTTCTGATTTGCGCACCCCTGTCATTTTCGCACCTTCCACGGTGAATGTTTGCACAGAGATGCTTATATTTCGGCGTTGATTAGAACCAGAGATCGACGAAATTTTGTTCGAGAATGCAAGATTGTTTAGATGTGTCGTTCTGAATGCACTGCGCATGCCATCTGCCTTATGCTGCACAACATCAATAGACAGTCTGTGGGGCAGCCTCCATTAAGCTAGGCGCCTCGTGTTTTTGTTGATCGGGTCTGCTGAAACTGAGTCGCGGGTTGATCCCTCGGAACTCCAACCCGATTAATGCATAATTGTGCGGGTTCCGTAAGCTTCTTCTCTCGTGTTCAAAGGGAAAAAAAATACTAATTAATTTTTTTTCGATCGTGTTTTTTTATGACGCCTCGAGGGTTTGGGCAAACTCTGTTGGATTGATTGATATGTGGACTAACGGCCGCTCTTCGATCGGGCGCCAACCTTCCGTATCTCCCTCGCCAACACGCCCCTTCCCTTACAACGAGGAAATGACACGTGTATGCGAGTGGGACGTACGGGAAGCTGACGCACGAATCGATGGACAATATTACTTCCCTCCCGAAAATCGTTGTTCTGGATTTTTGGATGCGGGCTTTGCCATTATTGACACGCACTTTCCACCCTACTCAGTCCTGTTGCCATTTAACGAGCTGATCGTCATTCCGTGGACGGCAATGGCGCCCCATTGGCCTCGAACCCTGTGCACTGAGTGCCAGCGTTTCGATCGCTACGAATCGAAGGGCTTCCATTACCGGATACATTCAGCGACGCGCGAAAGCAACCGACTTACTTCATCGGGCCAACACGGGGGATTTCAGTTCTGTCTGTGTCCCCACACTCAATTTTCCAAAAATCCTTGGCACATCCCATCTTGCTGTTTTTCTGGGCCTTCATTCCGCACCTTTAGCACTCCGAACGAAAGACAGCAAGGGCGTGAGGTTGCGCGTTACACCCACCTCGAAGGGACCTTCCCGCAAACCGCCATCCACGGAACCAATGGCTCGCCCGACCTTGAGTGCCCGCGCATGCCATCGGCCTTATGACCAGAGGCGGTCCGCCCTCTCCGCCAAATTGAACTCGTGCCCCCGAAAAACTCTGTCAGAGGAGATCTCAGTTCTGACCTGGGACTCCACCCCCACTTTCGCAAAAATCCTTGGCACACCCCTTTTCGCACTTCCAGGCCCACATCCTACTCCGATCAGGAAGTCACGCTGGGCGTGAGGTTTGGGCGTCACAGCGTTCCGTTGATTGTCCCTGGCTCGTAAAATTTATTCAAAAGTTTTTTCTAGCGGACTACTTATATTTTTCTTCTTCGAACTATGTGGTGGAGGAGGTCGGCTCGTTGAAGAAAGGTGAATAGTTGAAGTTCATACGCGGATGGCTGATTGGTGGTCTTAAAAATGTTTTTGGACTCTAGGGATTCCTAGCAACTTTTCTTAGGTGGCTTCGATGTTGTTATACTCAGTGACCTGTGGCTGTTCGATGCCAGAACGACGCTGGCCAGTGCTGGGGTGTTGCCCCGTGACCTGCTGATGCAGGAGCGTGAGGCCTGGTAGAGAGATCTGGGGATGCTTTGGGGTGGGCATTCCACGGGACAACTAAGGGTTGCTGCTGGGACGACGCTGGTCGGAGCTGGGGTGAGTTGTGTTGCCCTGTAACCCAGCAAGATGTGGGGGTGTGAGACCTGGAAGAGCTCGGCAGGGAGTAGGACAGTGTTGGAGTGCCTTGGAAGAGTTTGTTAGGGATTTCAAGGGTTTTTGAACATTTGTAGGACCTATGAGGTCTATTCCTATGTTTTTCGTATTGCTCAGACATTTTCTAAAGAGGCTGAGGTGAGTTAGAGAAGGAGAAGGTGGGATATTACGAGCCCTACTAGTAAGGGAGCTAGCTGGTAGGACGGGAATATGGTACAGCAACAGCGGAGATGGTGGCTCTGCTGCAGTAAGTCTTGCCGGAGTGGGGTACAAGGGATGGATTGGGGGTGTCCGAGTGTTTTAGGTGAGTGGGAGAAATAGATGGTGGGATATCAAGCGTCCTACTAGTGCGGGGGCTAGCTGGTAGGATGGAAATAGGGTAAAGCAGCAACGGAGAAGGTGGCTCTGTTGCAGCAAGTCTTGCCGGAGTGAGGTAAAGAGGATTGAGGGGGGGCTCCTGAGTCGTTTTCTGAATTTTGTCCAATTCTGAATTTTGTTGTAGTAATTTCCTAAGTAGCTCCAATTTTTCTTAGCCAAAGCCGGGTAACGCTGGGCCCGGTTCCCAGCACGTGCTGCTCCCCATGAATAGATTGGAGCCTTGTTCCCATTTAAAAAAAAAAAGAAAAAAAAAGAAGATGATGAGGCCACCTCCCATCATGTCCTTGCGTCAATACTCCTACCGTCTTCACCGGAAAATAATGCCCGGGCGTTATATTCAACTTACCAAGATGAGATTTTCATTTTTACGCACTTTTTTGCAAATAGAACGCCCCTTCCAATCGAACGCCTGGGCGTTATATTTAAATAGAATGCCCGGGCATTCCATTCAAATAAACACATGGGCGTTATATTTGAATTTCTATTGGCAAAGTGTCTTGAAGAGGTCATATAAATGGGTTTTAAATTTAAAGGGCGGGGAAGGGGGTATAGATGGGTTTTGAAGATGGTTGAATGGGGTTTTGAATTCCAAGGGGTATATTTTGGCTTTTTTTTTGTTTTTATTTTTTATTTCTGAGTTTATAAGGAATTCTGAAGTGACCCTCAGACATATGTTTTTTACTTTTTTTTTTTTTTTTCGGATTTTTATCATTTTTTTAATTTATTTTTTTAATTTATATTTTTAATTTATATTTTTAATTTATATTTTTATTTTATTTTTATTTTTTATTTTTTATTTTTTATGGGGTGATCACAACTGTCTATATTCTTCTCTCAACTTCTGTTTGTTTACCTTCCACTACCTACTCCTAAGACTATCTAGAGGGGACCCCTGCAAGCATAGTTTTCCTCTCTCTGTGAAGGGGAGATCATGCTGCCCCTTGCCCCTAATGGTTAGGGTATAGGGTTGGGGCCGCCAGTGGGGGTCTGGCTAACACAAAGACCGAGACCTGCCAGTAGCTGTGCCTCCCTTTCTCATCGTCCCCCACCCATCATCGAGTAGCAGCAGAGGCTATGGCCAACACTCTCCCATTACCACAAGTTTACTGAATATAACGCCCGGCCGGTCAAGACGGCAGTGCACCTCCCATGCTCTACTACCCTGCCTCAGTGTGACCAGCAGTGAGGACCATTACCCTACCGTAACTGTTCATAACTGTTCATTTAGGGCCAGATCCCACTGGCAAAGAGAATTGAAATAAGTGTCTGAATCTGGACGTGTTCCAGACAGAGATGCAGAAAAGCAGATCAGTCACAATCTTTTGCGCGTCTCCACAAACACGTCCAGATTCAGACACTCCTTCCAATCCTCTTTGCCAGTGGGATCTCGCCCTATACTCTGCCACGCTGATGGGCAAGTACGTCGGGTGTCATGCAAACACCAACTCGCAGGAGGAAATGAGAGAATCGAACCCGCGGCCTCCCCTTTTCTACGCCAGATCACCCACCAAACGCTTCACCTTGTTATGAAAAGGTAGGACCGTCGGCCCTCATGTGGGTCTGATAAAAAGAAAAGGAAAAACAAAGATGTGGGTCACGGGGCCCTTTTTGGATACTCATTCTCATAAGTACTTATTCGACCGAACGTACCCGGAGAATGCGGTGTGATACGTTCTGCCTTTCTACGAAGTCTTGTGTCTTTCCCAAAAAAAAAAAAAAAAAAAAAAAAAAGTCTTGTGTCTTGATTCGTAACAGGTGGGCTCTCTGTAATCGATTCAAGTACATCTGGGGCCAGTCCACACCCGTAAAATGGAGAGTGCATCTGCAGCTACAATGCGGAAAGGTACACTCACCATTTCTTTTTTTCACGTCTGTAAGTGACGCGGCAAGGTCCTCACTCGTGCATTCTGACAGAGTATTTATACCGTCCTCATCCACGTGGAGCGAACTGTTCATCCACCTCCACCTGGAAGGGCAAGTTGCGCCCAGGTGGAGCGTCACTGTTTCGTCCGCTGAGTGATCCTATCCTGGTGGGTCCACGTGAATGCGCCTCTGTTGCCTCCACGTGGAGTTCCTTCGCATCCACGTGGAGTTCAGTTCCTTCGCATCCACGTGGAATTCAGTTCCTTCGCATCCACGTGGCGTTCAGTTCCTTCGCATTCACGTGGAGTTCAGTTCCTTCGCATCCACGTGGACTGACGTGGAGTGGCTCTTTCGAATCCACGTGGAGTGAGGTGGAGTGGCTCCTTCGCATCCACGTGGAGTGAGGTGGAGTGGCTCCGTCGCATCCACGTGGAGTAAGGTGGAGTGGCTCCTCCTTGGCATCCATGTGGACTGGTTTTGTTCCGTGGTCTTGTGGCCTTGGCTAATCGTGCGTGCGCATCTAAGTAACTGCCGCGTGGGACGGCCACGTGGGCAGTTGTCATGATGGCGGGTTTGTTAATTAGATGCACTCGGAACGTAGCTCAAGAAGCATCTAGACGCTTCGTTAATCATCGAGCTCGACTGGCTCACGTGAGTTCTTGATCTCGCTCATCGCCTCGCCCTCTCTTTCTCTCTCCATCTCTTCGTCCTCACCTTCTCCTCCCTCCCTTTCCTCCTGCCTCTCCTTCTCCCTCTCCTTCTCCCTCTCCTTCTCCCTCTCCTTCTCCCTCTCCTTCTCCCTCTCCCTGTCAGTTTCTCTCTGTCCGTCTCTATCTTCTCCCTTTTTGGGCTTACAGCACCTTGTTGGCCTGATCTACTCTGCTGCTGCTTAGCACCGTCGTCTCTTTTCACCGTTCCCCCCCCCCTCTCCCGCTCCCCCTCTTCTTTAATGCTGGTTTGGTTTATTTGTAGTTTGTCTGTATTCTAGAGGCAGTGTCGAAAACAAAGCGTCTATACAAAAGTTTTATCGTTAAAAAAAAGAAAAGAAAGAATGTTTTATCGTCGCCATTAGCGGGCTGCTGACGCATTTCTCTCTCTCTCTCTCTCTCTCTCTCTCTCTCTCTCTCTCTCTCTCTCTCTCTCTCTCTCTCTCTTCCTGTCTGTATCCCCTCGGACAAAAAGAAAGAATGTTTTGTCGTTTTCATTACCGGGCTGCTGACGCATTTCTCTCTCCTCTCTCGGTCTGTCTCTCTTGCTCTCGCTCTCGCTCTTCCTCTCTGTCTCCTAACTCTTTCTCTCTCTCTCTCTCTTTT